GGGCAAAGCGACAAGAAATCCGGGATGAGAAGAAAACCAAGCGGTAGCCTTGATGAAGGGAGACGTTCCGGAGTAGATATTAATTTCTGTAATAGGATATAGGAGAAGTGCAAAGTTTATTGAACAACCTGTTCTGTGTTACAAGTAAAGCCGGTGGGGCCTTATGGCCTGGAAATGTCAAAGTAAATGTCGGTGACGTTAGTGTGTAAAAAATCACAATTCAATAGAATGAGGAAATAAAATTAAGTCTGGGCAACATGTTGTGCCGTTCTGTTGCAATTGTGGCGGCGCCCATAATGCAGGTTACTCATTTTGCAATAAGTAGCCACAGATGGGTGGCAGAGCATGGGGAGAGTGCAGCAGTGAGAAAAGGAGGAAGGACGAGGAGTTCCAGGTGAGACAACTCTACCTTCAACTGAGAACGTGTGGAAGAAGAGGATGGAACAGAGTGACACGTTGAAGGTAACAGGAAATGGTGCAAGAGCTGCACCAAAAGTTGTTCCAGAAGAGAAGGTAATTGACAAGTTTGGTGATGTGTATGGTGTAGTAGTTCAACTCAGGCAAGAAATTCAGATGTTTAGAAAAAAGGTAGACGACAACCAGAAGGTAATTGCCCATTTTTGTGAACATAGAAATGTGGATGTTGAACTAAAGGGGAAGAAGGTTGAAAATAAGACAGTAATAAAATCTGACAAACAATCTTTGCTTTGGGGGACCGGAAATGTGGACATAAGGGAAGAAATAACCAGCAAGTGGGGTGACATACCCAAAGTATTACATGATAAGGCATTAGCTCGAGTGAACGAAGTAATGGAACAATTTGTGAATGAGAGAATAAGGTTAGTTTCTGTTGTTAATATGGAAAATGGAGGACACTATTTAAGAATACTTTCATAGAATGTTAGGACCACATATGTGCACTGATGTATAAGGTGGATGTCATAGCCTTACACGAGACGGGCACGGAGGATGGTAATTTGATGAATTTACGTGATTATCAATGTTTCTGTTTACCAGCTAATAATAGAAATAACACAAGAGGTCTGTTAACTTATTTTCGGAAAAAATGTACCGGTTGAATTGGTAATAGCTGACAAGCAGAATGGGGTTGAAAGTTTGTGTGTTAAAATCTACGTCCAAGGGAGGTCTATATGTACTGTTACATCCTCAAAGTTTGGATATAGATGACATGCCTGAGTGCCTAGTTAATGATTATAGTGTTTTGGTTGGTAATATTAATGCTAGACACTAAGTCCTGGGTACTATGGGCCCAGCAACGTTTATAGAAGGAGATGGTTACACTTCTTGGAGAAGTTTAATGATATTGAAATATTGGGAAATCATGAGCCTACCCACATACACGGAGGAAGGTTAGATTATGCAGTATGTGTTAATACATATGGAATGAGAGCCAATGCTGACATAATTAGGGATTTGCTTAGTGATCATTTTGCATTTCGAATTACTATTCATGTTAACAAAATACAGAAGTTAATTAAGCGGAAAATATATTGGTTGCCGGAAGACAAAAAACAGGAACCGATCACTACTATACAGGATTGGTATACAGATTATGAACCAAAGGATGTTGATGGCTTTTATGATGATTTATTACATATTATTGATTTTGTTTTGACGATAAGTAAGTATAGTTATAAGGGAGAAATAAATTACGGGAAACGTAATATGTACAGTATGTGACTGACAAATTGGTTCAGGGTTGGAGTAAACTCCTCAGAAAGGTGCAAAGAGAATGGAGTGCAAATCCAAAAGATAATGAAATCAAGCAAGAGGCGCGGAATAAATTCTAGACAGACTTTTTAGGGAGAATCGCTAAAGGCAAGAACTTCGGTGACATATGGAAGGAAGTGAATAAAGTGAAGGTGTTGGAAGCAAGGGTAACAGCTACGCTGACCGACAGGGCAGGGCCAGTCAACTTATAAGGAAATGGGCTGGGACTGTTAGTTTTGCCGAATTACCTTAGTGTGTGATGGCCTCATTACAAAGTAAGAGTAGACTTAGGTGTGAGTTAGTACAAAGTCAGTGTACACTGGAGGATGATACATGTGTTCCTATAACGAGAGGCGAGTTATTATATGAGATTAAAAAGGGAAAGTCTACGGCACCCGGTGATGATGGAATAACATATGATATCCTTCACTGTCTCGCTGGTATTAGAGAAGAGGCCCTGTTAGACTTGTTTAATATGTCTTATAATGGAGGTTGTGTCCCTATTAAGTGGAAGAAAGCAGTAATTATACCAAAGAACAATGGAGATTTTCGTCCAATATCTTTGACCTCTTGTTTTAGTAAAATGGTGAAAGGAGTAGTATTAAACAGGCTGTTGTATAAAGTGGAAAATATCATGGCGCCCAATTTACATGGATTTATGAAAGGGAGAAGTACTGCAGACTGTGATGTAAAGTGTTTGAATAACTCCGAGGCTACATGCAGGACTTTTGTCGACTTAAAAGGAGCCTTTGATGGGGCAATGGGCAATGGGCAAGCCCTCTGGCGGACCCTCAGCCGTTTTTGCTGTCCACCAAAATTCATCGCCATTGTGAGGCAACTCCACGATGGCATGAACGGCGGTGTCCTGCACAGTGGCACCTAGTCTGAGTTCTTTCCCATCCAAACGGGGATAAATCAAGGATGTGTACTGGCACCAACTCTCTTTTCCATCTTCTTGGCTGCCTTCCTTACTCGTGTCAGTGCCAATTTAGACGGCGGGGTGGACATCGAGTGCCAGGTGAAGGAGGGTCTTTTCAACATAAGACGAATCCAGGCAAGAACTAAGGTGTCGGCAGCTTCCATTACTGAACTTCAGTATGCAGACAACCTCACCCTTGTCGTTCACACTAAACGCAACCTACAGGAGATCCTGAACACCTACGCAGATGCATATGCATACTTCGGGTTGAGGTGAATGTGTGTAAGACTCAAATTTTCTTTCAGCCCGCCCCTGGTTCAGCCACACCTCCACCATCCATCCAGCTTAATGGTACTACCCTCTCTAATGTTACTTACTTTCATTATCTCGGCTCCCACCTGTACACCACTGCAGACATCGATGAAGAGATCAACATCGGATCAGATGTGCATCTCGAGCAGTGGGCCTCCCCACCCTGCTATATGGCAGCGACACATGGGTCACATACAGGAGGCACCTCAAGGCACTTGAAAACTTTCACCAACGTAGTCTACGTTCCATCCTCCAGGTTCGCTGGGAAGACAAGAGAACAAATGCCAGTATTTTCACTGACACCAACTGTAGGAGCATCGAGGCTACCATTATCCATGAACAACTACGTTGGATTGGCCATGTTACCCGCATGGACGACAGTTAGACTGCCAAAGCAGCCACTTTACAGTCACCTAACGAATAGTAAACGTAGCGCTGGTTGTGAACTGAAAAGGTATAAGGATAGTCTAAGGCAAACCTGAAAAAGTGCCAAATCGACCCCCTCACCTGGGAGACGTTTACTCCACACCGTAACGCTAGGGGGATCACCACACAAGAAGGTGTCAATACTTTCGAATTAGCCCGACTGCAAACCGAGGTCAGACAAGCGCCGGCGCCCCTCCTGCACTAGATGTAGCCCCCCACACGTGCCACATCAGTGATCGACTCTGCCGGTCCCGTATCGGCCTCTTTAGTCACCTCAGAACTCACCAACGAAGGTGACATCCTTAATAACTCATATCATTATATCATAGCTGGGTGATCGTCATACTCGATTCCGAGCGACAGCAAAGTAGTAGTTATTTCTAGAGAATATTATTTAAGTTTTAAATATCCCATAAGGTATATTCGATAAAATATTTAAACCTGAATGGTATTCATCAAGATTAAGCTAAGTACAAATAAACTAAAATAGAGATATGCGTAAAAACATTCACTAGTGCAGTACCAGTGCTGGAGGTTAGGATAGAGGCGACGGAGATGGGGAAAAAAATAGTACATATGGTCGTCGCTCATCAGTGGTTAATATATTACTGCATTTAGGCTTAGTCGACTTTGGGCGCCTTTCTTAAGGTATGGAAGGAAGGGAGTTGGAGCCCAAATTTCGCTCGCTAAGAGCAATAAATTCTGACAGAAATGACGAGGGTAATTAACCTGTGGAGTGACACCGTGACCCAGCCCAGCCAAGCCATGATGGACGCCATGATGAGGGCGCCCCAGGGAGACAACCACCGCGGCAAGGACACCTCCATCAATGGTGGGTCTTGCTGTTTTCGTTAACTTACTAAGCTCGTATCCACCACGTGTTAGACTTGGCTCCAGATCACCTGAAGATTAGACACCTCAGAGAATTTTCTGACTTAAACATTTTAACGTTAACTTAACCTAACCTATCCCCCAGTTAGCGTTGGGGTGTTTAATCCATCAGGTAAACTGAGTTGGGGTGTCTAATCTTCAGGTGATCCGGTGGGCGCCTAATTATAGTATATTTGTAAAATCAGTAAGTTTCAAATTAGGTTAATGTGGTTCTATGAAAACCCATTGAAACAATACTTTTCCTTTTTGGAGAAGTTTGTGGACGTATTCATACCTAATTTTGTGTTTTTTTTTCAGTTTGTAATTAGGAGAATTTTCATAAGGTTGCTGTAATTTTATATAAAAGTCTTGTGTTCACAGAGTTGGAGAAGCGGGTGGCGGCGCTACTGGGGAAGGAAGCTGCTCTCTTTGTCCCAACTGGCACTATGGGTAATCTTATTTGTGGTAAGTGTTTCTCTATCTCGCGTGCGCTTTACTCTTACACTAATCATCTTTGTAAATAGACCTGTGATTTTCATGTTGAATCACGTGGTGTGTGACCTGGCTCTCTTCTTTCCTCTCCACCAGTGATGACCCATGCTAGAACCCGGGATTCGGAGGTCATTCTAGGTCACAGAAGTCACATCCACCTGATGGAACAAGGTGGCATAGCCCAGGTCAGCCTTACGTTACGCCTGTTGTAGTGTCATGCAGATAATGAGATTTATATACCGTTATGATAAGAATATTTTGGGTAATACTAACATAACAGTTCCCATAACCGACTCAATAATCTGATTTGTAGTTTTTTGTCTGTCTAGTCAGCCAATATATCAGCCTCCCCTGACCTGACTAATGGATGCTTTTCCCACCTGAGGGATACTTTACAAGTGCAGGTTAACGCAGCTCATGACCCATCTCTTATCATTATTTTATCGTGTATACTGTATATTAACTGGTACATATGTTTTGACTGGTTCCTATGTGGCCCTTTGCCGGTACATGTTCTTGTTTGCATATTATTTCTATGGATGCGAACGACTATTTACATCGTAGTGGTGAATAATTATATCTCTTGGAATTCTGCAGATCGGGGGCGTCCATCATCGAGTGGTGACAAACCTGGCAGATGGGACATTCTCTTTGGAGGAGTTGCAGCAGATGGTGAGGACCAACAGCATCCACTTCCCCATCAGCGCTCTCGTCTGTGTGGAGAATACCATGGATGGCCTGGTGCTCCCTCTCAAGTGGCTGGATCAGGTGAAGAACCCATGTTGAGTCTTCCCTTAACATGTGGTAATGTAAACTAGGGTGTTGGTTCTCCCCCACTTCCATCTCATGAGTTCCTTTTTCTTGGCGCCTTTATAAACTGTATCCTGAACTTATAGAGTTGACGTAAACAAAAATCCACTAATTTTGACTTTAGGGAAAAACCCGCTTATATTTTGTCCTGGGCTTTCGAGAAAATCCCACTGAATCTTGTCATAGATATAAGAGAAAATTTCATTATATATTGAACTGGGTTTTCTAGAAAATTCCTTTGAAATTTACTCTGGACTTCGAGAAAAATTCCATTGCACTTTTGTAAATAGGCATCAATAACAGTTGAAAATTATTCCTACAGGGACTGTGTTTTTAGAAAATTTGTCTAATGTGTCTTATACTGACTTCATGTTCCCAGTTGGGTGTTGTGTGTAAGGAACTGGGACTACCAATACACATGGACGGCGCTCGTCTCTTTCACGCTTCTACCGCCCTCTCCCTTCCCCCACACAGGATCGTCCGTGACTGTACTTCCGTCAGCCTTTCCATAAGCAAGGGCCTTGGATGTCCTGTGGGATGCCTCATTGTGGGTTCCAGGGAGTGTATAAGAGAGTAAGTCCATGGGAGGGTAATGGTACAGTATTTGTTTCATTAACAGCAATCATCATCATTTGTCATTAATCGGTTTAGCCAAACAGGGACCATCTCTCCTACAGGGCAGAAAAACACAATCTCTTGACACCAAAGCAGAGACAATATAATCTGTAATACTCAATATCCCTCATGGTGTTGCTACAGTAGTTGTGGTGTCATAACAGAACATTTCGATGGTAGGATTTTAAAGGTAGAACAAGATTTTAAACATCCCTTTTACTTACCTTGGGGTGATTTTCATAAGCTTCTCTGCATTGAATTGACTTAAAAGAATAATATAAAATGTAATGGTTGTATCGATTAAGGGAGAAGCCAAGGAAATTTGTGTGAATTATCTAAGGTCTGTTTCTTTGCCACCAGCGCTACGCGAATTCGTAGGGTGCTCGGGGGCTTTATGAGCCAACCTGGGGTGCTGGCTGCTTGCGGGTTATACGCCCTGGACCACTTGCTGCCTCTCCTCCCTCGTGACCACCACCACGCCAAGATCATCGCTCAAGGTCTGTGCCCCCTCAACAGGCCTGTGTTACAGGTTCTTGGTTAACTCTCTTGATATTTGCTGTTTTTACACTTGTCACTTCATTTTGAAAAACGTTCCATTTTTAAATCATCATTTCCTCAGCATAAAAATTAACTAAATAGTCTTTCAACTACTCCACCTGACCTTGATCTGTTACTCAATAAATTTAATTTAATATTGGTGAAGATACGGCACGTGCAGTCCGCCTCCCGAACCTATTATGAATGATATTATTCGCATATACATTTAAGATATTGTCGTCTTTTGGAATTGTATTAAGAGGATTTGAAGTCCTCCGTGTTGCAAAATATTGTGTGCTGTTGTAGATGTATAGGAGGTGTTGCAGTGGTGTTATAGACTTGAAAGATATGTTGTGGTGATGTTACACAGATACAAACATATCTATCGGGTATTGTGATGGTAATTTGTCTGTAAGAGAGGTAGTAATATGGGTGGTGTTACAGGAGTAGCGAGCCTTGGGAGTAGGGTGGTTTGGGTGGAGGAGAATAGTGTCCACACCAACATAGTGATGCTGTTCTGTAACACTTCGATCCTCACCCCAGCAAGACTCTGCCAGAGACTACTCCAGGTAGGTATCGAGGAACACTACTTTGTCTTGACTATAACAGCCTCCTTCAGATAGGTATTGATATACACTATCTTGTCTTTATCTACAACAGTATATTTCTGGTAGAGACTGAAGGCTTACATGTAGCCTAAATAGTACAATATACTTCACCCCCTGCGTAAAAATTATACAGTATAACTCGGGTTACTTACTGTATTGAACTTAACTATTCCTCCTAAACTGGTATCAGGGTGTCACAGATGCTATCGTTGTAAAAGTCATTTGTCTTTGTATATCACTGTGCGGACCTATCTTAAAAAAAAATTATATATATATATATATATATATATATATATATATATATATATATATATATATATATATATATATATATATATATATATATATATATATATATATATATATATATATATATATATTATTATAATAAAGCCGTTTGTGGTTGTGTTGTGAATGGCAGGTGAGGGAGGAGGAGGTGGCCAGTATTGGTGAGCGGGTCACTGTGGAACTTCTTGCCAAGGATACTGTCGCACGACTGGTTACTCACTGTAATGTCACTCCTGAAGACACCCGCTTGGCGATCAAGAAACTGCAGTACGTCATCATGGAACTGGACCCTACTCTACGGTGCTAAACTAACATACTACGGTACTCGAATTGGACACTGTAATAAGAACTTTGTTGTAGGAGTGTGTAGTGTGTGAGTGTGCACCACATAATATGTACCATACGACTACCGAGCACACATGTAGTTGGGAGCGCCTGGCAGCCAAGTCGTGATTGAGTGGAGCAAGTGACGTCATAATGAGTAAGCAAACTGTTCAAACCAACCAATTTAACAGAACCTAACCTAACTTAGATAAACCTAACGTAATCTAATCTAACAAAACTAAACCTCCCCAAACTTAAGTTTAACCAAATGTGACCCAGGATATGCTTGTCGTCTGAGGTGTTATAAAGAACCCCGGTCTCAAGAAGCCGGTCGTAACACATACTGGTAATGCATGGAGGAAATAATAATAATAATAATAATAATAATAATAATAATAATAATAATAATAATAATAAATAATAATAATAATAATAATAATAATAATAATAATAAAAATAAACGGTTTATTAATAGAGTTGCAGCCGGTGGCTGAAAATATACAGACTTACATTTAATTTAGACATAATGATATAATATGCATTGAATACATCTCACCAAATAGATGCTTTCCTCGCTGGATTTAATATCACCACCAAAATACCTAAAGTTAGACGAAATTCCACTTCAGTAAGCGTAGAAAAGTGTATTTTAATGGCGATTTATATATAGAAAAACAAGAAAATTAGGCAGTGGGGTAGTTAGGGTGTGTGCGACGATAGTCAAACATAAAGAGCGGACATTTGCGGGGGTCTGTTCTCCCGGTTGATAAATGCAGCCGTTGCATAAATTATAGAACCAGTATTTTGTTTTTTAATACTAAAGATGTTATTTAAGCCTCTAAAACCTATTACAGTATAAGTTATACATCATCACCGTTTATCAAACTCTGATAAATGGTGTCGAAATACGACGCCTGGCCAATAACTTTACCGAAGGATGAAGTGACGCTAATCATTATAAGTATGTATGTTTGAGTTGGAGATTAAGTTAACTATTCTGATCCTTACTTAATTAACTGTATTGAAATGTTCCCAATAGCTTCATATTCTACAAGCAACAGGTATACCTATTACAGATTTGTTAACGAGATATGACAGCAAGAGTTGCCAAAATATGTTTAATTCAGAAAATAATTAATAACTAATTTACTTGCACTCCTACAATATACAGGTATATTCAAACTATATAAGGTAGCCCAATATTATATAGACTTCATGGCTATCAAGACGAAATTCCATTTATCATATTAGATCGCCCAATCAGAAGAGATATTTGCTAGTCTATAATTGGTAATTGGCTCTAGCGAAACCTTTCAGCAACACCCGATTATATGACAATTTACAAGTTTATTTCATTGTATTGTATTGTATTGTACTGTACTGTACTGTACTGTACTATACCACAGACAATCCAGCATGTTTTAGTCGGACTGGAATAAAAACCATGAATGATATACAGTGCAAGCACTTTTGACAATACTATCAAAATAATTGTTATAAAATATGATACGCCTTTCTGGTGCCATTCTAATAAACAAATCCATTAACTGCAAATACAATGTTGGTGTAAAGGCCTGGGACTTAGGGATATAAATCCCTTACCAGACTAATCAGGATCTTAATAAAGGAATGTCAAGGACCATGGTTTTCTGAGGAATAACAAACAACCGTTTGAGATTGACATCTCTTTACTATAAAAATATAACACAACTCTGACACCACTTAACGAACATCAAGTCACAATTACGAGAGTCAAACAATTAATGCAGTAAACAGTTAATGGAGTCAAATAATTAAGGGTAGCAAATAATTAAAGGGAAGCAAACAATTAATGGGAGTCAGCAATTAAAGGAATCAAACAATATTATGGAATCAAACAGTTAATGGGAGTCAACAACTGATAGAATCAAACAATAAAAGAGGGTCAGCAATTAAAGGAATCAAACAGTAAAATCAAACAATGAACAGATATTTCCTACGACAGTGGCCCTGGGGTAAGGTTCTGGAACACAGTGATCCACATGCAGGGTAGGGAAGCGGCCATTCAACTCCACACTCAAGTGACAGCGGCGATGTCTTGAAATGGCAGGAGAACACAGGGGCACAGACTGAGGAGTTGAATTGACGGTCGTGGTATGTGGTAGTGGTAGATGACCAGAGAATTGACAGTCGATAGGTGAAGGTCTGGGGACACAGCCCACAAGTCCAGAGCCTTGATGAGATCACAGCCAGAATTTGACGAACAGCTGGGTTGGTAGATAGTGACTGTAAGGCGGCTGGGGTGAATCTGCCGGTGACATAGGTAGCCGCTGCCGTTCTCACCTCTGTCCAACCCCCCCAAGTGTTGGTCGCACCAGCAAACGAGAGAGTTAGCAGCGGTAACGAGCAGGAAGATCGTTTCCGCCCTTACAGTTGGGAAGCCTTTATTATCTTGTCAATGTCACTGCATTACCATTTGACAACACAATTTTCATGTTAGATCTATTATCTTCAAATAAGATTTACCAATATTAAAAAATGAAACTAGATTCACCACTTGAAAGAGGTGATGTTTCCCCTAGAAAGTCAGCCAAGATCACCAACAGTTCAAATGTGACTAAGATCTTATTCTGGATGTGGATGTTGACAACTTGCTGAGGTTCTCTGATCACTGTAGGGAGGTAAATCAGGTAAATAAACTACTTGGTTATATATCAAGATTATAAACATACCTAGATGGTCCGTCCCTCGTAATGCTCTTCAAAAGTGAGGTACTATTCCTCCTCTGCCTGTAGTACTGTACTGTCCTTCAGTCTGGTACCCAAGATGTTGCTACATACTGCCAGTTTCTTGATAATGTCCAAAAGAGGGCCACCCGACTGGTCTCCAGCACCCTACCTATCAAGAGATTAGAACACCTGTAATTGCACACAGCCGCCAGCCGAAGCAGAAGTACAAGCAGCCTCTGCAGGGACGCAGCCGAGCACAAGCAGCTACTCCAGGGACCCCAGAGACAGCAGCAGTAGTGGCGTCTCCTCCACTGTCCCATTCCCCTCAGCTTGCTGTGCCTCGCAAAACACCTCCATCCCAGAGAAAAGACACACTGATAAATCGTTTGGCTCGATTGACATACTTGATCTCTCCCACGGTATCGGACCTCCCTGAGGAACGCCGAACACTGCTGAAGGACCTGGTGTGACGAGAGACCATTCGTGAGTTATCAGACTTTTCCCTACCACTCCTTTTTTCTCTTCCACTGCCGTAAAAGGACCTACTCCTCTGTCAGTTGACGCACATGGGAGTATTCGTCTAGCAGCGCCCTTTGTCCCCACACCTCGCTCAGAGCGTGTTTGTGTGCAGGACAAAGGGTCAGCAGAGCCTGCCGATTCACCGGGGACCTGTGTGATCGTGCAAAGTCTCCCCTAAGTGAGGGGCGCAGGAATTTAGGGACACCTGTTAGAGGAGATCTACATAAATCTCCACTTAGGACTTAGGGAACATGCCCTCCATAAAAATTAAAGTGGACCGCACCCGCCAGCAATCCTCAGACCTGGCCTCACTGATTATGAAAACATAAAAAAATTTCCTCCAGACTGATGAAGATGCAGACAGATTCCACTCCCCAGAGGTAAGTAAAATACTCTAAGATAGTGGCTTCACGGTCCTCAGCTCGACTGAGTACCGTGCAAAATGTACCCTGATATGCCGGAAAATCATCCCTCCTATCTTAGAAAACACTAATCTCCTCGCTGAACTAAACTCACACAACAACAACCATCGGCAACTCGGATGGGAACCCTACCCATGCTCAAAATCACCACAGCAACACAAACAGATGCCATTGCACTTAAATCCCTGGGCATAAAAATAAGCAACAACATCATCCCCTCACATGACATAGAATTCCAACACTTCATCAAGGTTCACCAATGCTACAACTGTTACCAATTCAAACACAACACCAACCAGCGCAAAAACACACAAACATGCTCAAAGTGTGCCAACAAAGGCCACTCCTACCGAAACTGCATGGCCACGGAGACAAAGTGCAGCAACAATGAAGGCCCACACACTGCCATCAGCAATAAAAATGTCAAATCTGGTTGGATAACAGCACAACACCACTCCCTCCCCGCCGACCCTCACTCCTCACAGCACCACAACCACCACCACCTCCCCATCACTCACTCCCTACACCCACGACCCACCGCACATGCTGGACCAACAACCTGTCATAGGAACAGCCTACCAGGAGGCCACGCCTCTCAAACGCAACAGAACTCTCCCACACCCACTATAGACTCCAGAACTCATAGCCCTCACAAACCAATTCCAACTGCTACAACAGAGAAATTAATTTTACCACCACACCATCCCGTTAAGTACTGTACTGTGGTGTCCCTCGGGACTCATTTAGTTTAAAACTCGGGTTGAAACACGATGACCCTCTTCAAGGGGAGATATCGTTTAATAACACGGGCGTAAAGGCCAACGGCCTACCGACCATACACATACAGTACCTGATACCTACAATACCGAACCCGCTCTCACCTTCCCCACGGCTCCCATCAACCCCCACCCATCGACCACCATGCCCCCTCCACCCCAACAAGGTAACAGTTAATACCCACGCCCCTCCAACTCAGCCAGGCTCACACCTGACCTCTGTCACCTGACCATCATTACCACAGTTCCTAGAGTGCTAAGAGAGCTGTGCAACGAGCTTGCAGAGCCCCTGAAGCTCCTGTTTTGTAAATGCCTGGATGAACAAATGGTCCCCAGTGAATGGAAAGTGGCTTATGTGAGTCCTATCTTCAAGAAGGGCGATAGTCACTCCACGAACAGCTATAGACCGGTGAGCCTGACCAGCATAATATGTAAAGTACTTGAGAGTATTATCAGAGATGCCGCGATGGAACATCTACTACGAAACAACCTTGTAAAAGATTGCCAACACGGTTTTATGCCGGGGCGCTCTTGATTAACACAATTGCTCAAGGTATTGGATATTTGGACCCATATTCTGGAACGGGGTGGTAATATCGACAATATTTACCTAGATTTTGCCAAGGCTTTCGACAGTGTACCCCACGAAAGGCTGAAAATCAAACTGGAAGGGTACGGAATTCGAGGAAATGTCCTAGCGTGGATAGAAGACTTTCTACATGACCGCAAGCAGTGTGTGGTGATTAATGGCACGAAATCGTCATCTGTACCTGTAACAAGTGGGGTACCACAGGGGGCAGTGTATTGGGCCCGCTGTTGTTTGTTTGTTTCATAAACATGCCTGACGTTGTACACTCCTCCATACAAATGTTTGCCGATGATGGCAAGTTATTTCGGGAAATTAAGAACCAAGCGGACTATGAAGAGCTGCAGAAGGACCTCTGTGGGCTCCAGGAATGGTCGAAGAAATGGCTGCTGAGATTCAATGT